TTTAAAAAAAATAAAAGGTGGAATTCCACATCCACCCCCCCCCCCCAACACCCCCGGCTGGAGGAAACAGGGTTCCCCCGGGTACACGGCCCCAGCAGCACGGGGGGAAAATTGTTGAGGGTGATTTTGCCCCGCTCTTCTCTCCGTGGGACGCTCTTTAGGGGCCAAAAGGGGTTTTTTTTGTGCCCGGAGTCGTTCCCGGGGGCACAGCGATAAAGGGAAGGGGAGAGAGAAATGAAGAAGGGAGAAAGAGAGAAAGAAAGACAGAAAGAGGAAAGAAGGACAGACAGAAAGGAAGACAGAAAAAGGAAAGAAAGACAGACAGAAAGAAAGAAAAACAGAAAGACAGAACGAAAGACAGAAAAAGGAAAGAAAGAATGACAGAAAGAATGTCAGAAAGAAAGAATGTCAGCAAGAAAGAAAGAAAGAAAAAGAAAGAAAGAGAAACAGAAAAGAGAGGGAGGAGAAAAGGACACAGATAAAGAGAAAAACAGAAAAGAGAAAGAGGAGGAAAGGAGAGAGATAAAGAAAGAAAAAAAATGAAATGGGAGAGGGGAGAAAGAAAAAGGAGAGAGAAAAGGGAAAAGAAAAGGAAACGAGAAAGGAGAAAGGAAAAGGAAAAAGCAAAAAGCAAAATGAAAAGAAAAAGGGAAATGAAAGTAAAAAGGAAAAGAGAAAGAAAAAGGAGAAGAAAAAGGAGAAGAAAAAGAAAAAGAGGAAAAGGACAAGAAAAAGAAAAAGAGGAAAAGAAAAGAGGAAAAGAAAAGAGAAAAAGAAAAAGAGGAAAAGAAAAAGAGGAAAAGAAAAGAGAAAAAGAAAAAGAGGAAAAGAAAAGAGAAAAAGAACAAGAACAAGAACAAGAAAAAGAAAAAAGAAAAGATAAAAAGGAAAAGAAAAAAGAAAAAGGAAAAGAAAAGCCTGAAAGGAAGAGGTGGGGGGGGGGGGGGAAAAAAGGAGGAGAAAAAAGGAAAAAAAAAAAAAAAAAAAAAGAGGGGGGGGGGGGGGGGGGGAAGAAAAAGGAGAGGAAAAAAGAGGGGGAAAACGGAAAGGAAAAAAGAAAAGGAAAAAGCGAAAGGAAAAAGGAAAGGAAAAAGCAAAAGGGAAAGGAAAAAGCGAAGGGAGAAGGAGAAAGTTAATGGAAAAAGGGAAAGAAAAGCGGAAAGGAGAAACGTAACGGGAGGGGCAAGAAAAAGGAGAGGGAAAAAGAGAGGAGAAGAGAGGAGAGGGGA